AGTCCTCGTGGGACTGAAATTCTTGTGCCTGGACTGTAGTGACGACGAAATAATCGCGTTTGGAGATAATGATGGTGCCTTAGGTAGCTATATTAGTCTCCGGAGCGAAAACCAGTTCGTCAAGGGTTGCTTGAGAGTTTTCTCCTTGTGGGAAGAACGAAGTTTTCCTCTAGTGTGGTTTGAAAGGGTAGCTTCTCACTCTAATATAGCTGACGGGCCATCGCGCCTGGATATGACTTTGCTGGATTTGCACGCAGGATGTGAACTGATTGAGGTCTCGTTGCACAGCTTGCTGGAAGAGACGCTGTCTCAGATCCACGCAGGATGAATGGGGAACGCCCAAAGCTATGGGGATGTGTCGGGGGCGATAGCAAAAGCATCCAACAAAGCCTTGAGCCCGTAGAGGCCTTTTCGTATGTGTGCCGGATGAAGACTGACGACTTCCCCCACTGAACTTGGAGGAAAAAAAGACAGCGCGATCTGAGACTGTGATTCTGTGCAGTTTGAGTTTTCACGCGCAGCTGTCTTGTTAATATGTTTAAGATAAAGGGGTGTGAACGTGACGACGCTTTGTTTAAGTAACCTGAAATCTCTGTAACTTCCTATGTTCCCTCTATCCTACTTGTGCTCGGATGTTTTCTTTCTTGTGGCGGAAGTTTCGGAAGTTGATAAGGAGGAACTCACTGAAAGTGATGGAGCCTTATCTACGACGAAAATTTAAAATTTTGATTTTGTGGGATGCACTCCCAAAAACAAAATTTATGCCACAAAGAAAGTTAAACAACCTGTATATAAAGCTGCTGGATATGTAAACGACCTTCTCTATTTAACACCTAAACGGTTTGTGCTTCTTCAATGTCAGTTTGCACTTCGACAGATGTGGATGTGTTAAATCTCCTTTGTAATATCGGCTCTAGGGAGAGGTGGGCGGGAAACTTCCCGTTTTATTCAGGCAGCACAAAGAACAAAGCCCACCCACATCCACCCTTGTTCTTTATCCAACATGAATGCACCTCTTGTTGCTTTATTCGAACAACTCCGCCTTCATTGGCGCACCTACTTGTCTTGAGCGCTCTTCTTTTGGCCCTGGATGAAGCCGATGATAGCCTTCATGACATCCATTGGGATGCACGTGATCTGATACACATTCGTCCACACATTATCGCTTTGCAACAGCGCCTGCAGTTTCAGATCCATCGATTACATTTTCGCATAATTTTCCAGATCACCAACCAAACTTTGCCTTGAGTTCGCAGAGGCTTTTCGTCCAATATAGCCTTGAGCCCGCAGAGAAGACTGACGACGATAGCAAAAGCGTCCAACAAAGCCTTGAGCCCGCAGAGGCCTTTTCGTATGTGTGCCGGGATGTGTCGGGGGCGATAGCAAAAGCATCCAACAAAGCCTTGAGCCCGTAGAGGCCTTTTCGTATGTGTGCCGGATGAAGACTGACGACTTCCCCCACTGAACTTGGAGGAAAAAAGGACAGCGCGATCTGAGACTGTGATTCTGTGCAGTTTGAGTTTTCACGCGCAGCTGTCTTGTTAATATGTTTAAGATAAAGGGGTGTGAACGTGACGACGCTTTGTTTAAGTAACCTGAAATCTCTGTAACTTCCTATGTTCCCTCTATCCTACTTGTGCTCGGATGTTTTCTTTCTTGTGGCGGAAGTTTCGGAAGTTGATAAGGAAGAAAGCATGAGCTTGATGGCGTTGTTCGCACGGGTGCCAACGTGCGCCAACCCGGCGGATGCGCCCTCCCGTGGTGAAGTGGCTCACCTTGATGGAGTCGTCCGATTGCCGGACGACGTTGTGTGTGATTGCGCAAGTCGTTTGATGACGGCCATGCTCGAACGAGCGAAGGCGCCCGTACTTGAGAAAGGGGGAAAGAGGACGGCCTCGTGAGACTCCCCAATGTTGTTTGAAGAAAAAGGAGCGATCACTTGAGCACAAACGAAACGACAGATGTGTCAGTTCTCATAGCAGTGGAACTATGTTTTGCACAGTGAGCATTGTTTGCACATGTCCCTTGCCTTAGTCGTTCAAAAGCACATTAATGAATGTCTTGAAGATAAATAGGCAACTCGCACGAATAGCCCACTGTAAGGTAGCAATAAAATGTAAGTCAGCTTGCTGATGCATTCTTATTGCAACGTCAGCCTTTCGCAAAATAAAATACAGTTAATGGAAACTTTTACCAGAACATTTGTATGCATTGACAGGGTTGTACCATGACGACTTGAACCATCGATGTCTCGTCACTTTTTTTTTTGAGCCCTGTCGTTCGAGCCCGAGCATGTTCGATCCAACTTCCGCCTACAGGCTCAGAAATCGGTTGCATTGGCAAGTGATTGCACCACGATAATGTTCACATGCACTGGCATGATGTTGTCATAGACTTACTTGACATGACATTTGTTTCTTTGCCCGCCCTCCACTCCCTGTGGAGGCCACTTCGTGCCCTCTTCATACTGCAGATCCCGGCCTTCGATGCTTCCTGCATCGGCCTGTGTTCGTTCATGCTGCCTAACCCAGCCGTCGAAAGAGGACGGCCTCGTGAGACTCCCCAATGTTGTGTGAAGAAAAAAGGAGCGATCACTTGAGCACAAACGAAACGACAGATGTGTCAGTTCTCATAGCAGTGGAACTATGTTTTGCACAGTGAGCATTGTTTGCACATGTCCCTTGCCTTAGTCGTTCAAAAGCACATTAATGAATGTCTTGAAGATAAATAGGCAACTCGCACGAATAGCCCACTGTAAGGTAGCAATAAACCTTCCTGCTGTGCTCCTCGTTGCAAGAGGTGCACACCCCACTAGTCTTTATTCTATATTGCCCACCGAGCCTTCTTCGAATGTGGACGACTCAGTCAGTTTATAAAAATGGAAGAGAAAAACACATGGAGAGGGGCCCTATGCCGAATGTGACACTCGACCTGTGTGACAAGTTTCGCATGCCAGAGTGGATCAACCTCCTCCCGCTGAATCAAGGAAGCAGTCAGACCTTCAATTCCGTCGAATTTGACGATGAGCTACGTAGGAACCTGCACTAACAACTCGCTAGCCCGTCACAGGTTTGATGGTGGCCCATTAGTGAAGTTTTGGTTGTTGCCATGGTGAGACTTAAGCTCTTGGGAACTGTGTATTGGAACGCTTTCTTTGGTATCGTTTTGGTATCGAGGTCCGTGTTTCCACGGTAGAATTGATCAAAGGAATTCGCGTTAGTATCAGCTTGGTACCGATGTCCGTGCTTCCACGGTGTGCAGGGAGCTCGTGGACCCCTATAGGTCCATTTCTTCTTCATGTGTGGGGTGCGCCTTCACCAAGTAGACCTTGTAGAGGTAGTCCTGTATTCCTCTTACTGCCCGTGTTGTCGCTGATTTCCCCTTTCCTCCTCCTTGCCTTTCCTGTTGGCGAACTCCTCATCCGAGGGTCTGGTCATTACTTGCTTCCATGCTGCTTCAATGCCATTCTCTGCCATGGTGAAGATATCCTCACGGATCAGCATCTTCGCGGTGCCCTCCGCGTCGTCGAACACACACACACACACACACACTTGAGTAGATTACCTTCATCATTGCAAACCACATGGGCCGCCCAGTTCTTGTACAGGTCGCGGGTTTGGTTGTAGTAAACGCAGCTGGGGGTATCGTTGAGAACTTAAAGGAAGGCCTTCAGTGGTATGCTTTTGAAGCGGTCGTGCAAATCTGTTGGCGGATTTGCAAGTGGAAAGGTCGGCCGTTGCTGTGTTGTGGTACTGTGTTGTTCTCTTCCCAGTAAGGGAGCGGGTTTCTTCCTGAGGCTATTTTCTTCGCAGTCTCGAGGAACTTCTTGGTGGACCAAACGCTGCGGAACTGTAGGATTGTGATCCTGGACATTGATTCTTCCTGTACTCGGTGCGATGCATGAACGAACTCACGGTTCGGGATGTTGGCACGGCTAACAAGCCACTCAAAGACCCTGTCTCTGTGTTGCTCTTGTGTGTGCGGAGGCCAGTTTGTAATGATGGTTTGGGTGCTTGCTTCTTTCCTCGCCTGAACGGCGTCTCTTTGCATCAGATATCCTTGTTGTTTCTGAATTTGCTTCATGCCACTGAATAGTTTGCTGGTATCATTCGACAGGTCATTGATGTCCTGTTCTGCTGCACGGAGGCGTTGGTCTCCGGCGTAGGTTCCTGTTGTAGTGCTTGCTCTTGAGGTCAATGATCTGGCTTCTGAATGTGTTCTGACTGTCTCTTTTCGTGCGGGTGAGCTCTGGATAATGCTCTCTGTGTGTGGCCGATGTGGTGTGTTACTGATTTGGCTTCTCGAGTGTTCCAGCAATGGAGGAGGAGCTCAGCTCCAGCAATGAAGGAGGAGCGCGGAAAACAATTTAGCAGTCAAGAGACACGCACAGAGAAAAGTGTACATGTACTGTCGAGGCCCCTTCAGTTCATGAAAATGTTTGCAATTACACTTTCTTTGAATGATTCGGACAGAAAAACTAGGAAAACATCATCCAAGCCGTCATATGACCATAATATCAAGTCACAAAAAACAAATTTAAAGAACAAACCTTATCAACAAATCAATGATTTTCCACCTGTTTTTCCAGGGTTCGCCTGCGCTGGGAGTGTCGCCACGAAGTGCTCCAAACTAAAATATGAAGATACTCATGGTGAACGTTCACTGTAGAAATGTGGGCTGCGAACTCAAACACTGCGCCCAAGCCACACTCATTGACCTCAAGCCAGGCACAAATGATTGTGGTCATCAATGCATGAAACCACTGGGCCCTTTAACATCCACAGAACCGCTTTGTAGACGTGTTGTTCACTGGCGATTGGTTACAAGTAGCCAAGCCAGTAGCCAAGCCAATGGATCCCAAGTTTCCAGCCACTTTGAGTGAAACTAGTCCAGTCCAAACAATGGGGAATTGTTAGGGCCCTGCGGGACGCTTCTCCGAGTCCAGATTCAACACCACCAGCACCGAAAGAGTCCACCCAGCGACAAATTTAAAAAGAACTGATTTCTTTTGGCCGCTGAAGCGAAGCGTGCCACGGAATGGGTTCTGTCGGGGTCTCAGCTGCGAGCCGAATGCGTTGGATGAGCCAGGGCCGCTGGGAACTGAACGGACACTTTTTAACTTGTTGAGTCCCTGGTGTGTTGGACTATTTCACGGCATTCGATTTGCTTTCGAAGCGTTCAATAACACATGCATCATTGACATTCCAATTTGGTGTAGCTCCTAGCCGTTAGATCGTATATTGGATGGGGTGGCCTTGAAGTGTCACCACTATATTGAAAACACATGGATTTACAGCCGCTACGAAACAACATGAGAATGACAGAGCGGCGACTGCCAATTCGAGAACCAAAGGTCGTACATGTAAAAAAATATTGCTTTCTGGATTTGGCAGCTTAGCCTGTCTCGCACAAAAGTGCGAATCTTCTTGGATCATCGACAGTGGTTGGCCTTTTGCAACGAAAGCTGCTGTAGGGGACCTGTTGGCCCAAGAAATCATATCCTCAATCTCCAACAGGTCCCCACCTGCGACATTTAAGTATATTTAAGTCTTCAAACCGGTAGAGCACACGTGTTGGAGGGCACTTTTGTGGGGCAGTTCCCCAAACGAATCGATCTATTTGATGGTAATTAGTGACCCTCGAACAAGAGAACATGCCCATGATTCCATAATTGACAGACTCATGCTTTCCACTCAATTTTTCAAGTGCATGCATTCAAATATTGATTTCTGCAAGGCCCTCAGAGAGGGTGGGTTGGCTTTTTTTTTTGTAAAAGCTGCCTTTGTGACTGGATGTTAATGATGCGAAACGGCGTTGATGCATTTCTTACATCACCTGCAATCACTTAAATGTGGAAGGCATGTTCTCGTTCAACCTCACCCTCAATGAAACTGTAAATATTTTGGAGGAGACCTTAAGACGTTCAGTAGGAAAGCTACTAGAAACAACTGCATCGCTTCTAGTAATAAGTGCCTTACTAGGAACAAGTGCATCGCTACTAGTAACAAGTGCCTTACTAGTAGCGATGCACTTGTTCCTAATAGCTTATTGTTACTACTAGTAAGGCACTTGTTACTAGAAGCGATGCATTTGTTTCTAGTAGCTTTCCTACTGAACGTCTTAAGGTCTCGTCCATTCTACCTTTGTGGCGAACTTTGTTCGGTGAGGCCGCCAAGAACTTGGCATTACCCGCGGTCCTTGAGGCGCTGGTCCTGGGGTTTGGGGTGTTTAAACATTCTTTCCGAGGGATCGAGGAGCTAAAGCCAAGGATTGTTGTTGCACCTTTTTTTTGCTACTGCAAAAAACATCCAGTCGTTGAGGTGACATGCTAAAAACCCTTTAAGGGCAAAATAGACATACAGATGCTGCACAAGGCTCCTAGGAATGCGACCAAAGCGACGGATTTCCTCTGCCCGCGATCAAGATGGATGCAGGCCTTGGCTGGAGTCTTCATGATCCTGCGAGCACAGAAATTCGAGTTCAGACATGATGAGGAGCTGGGTTCCAGCACGACCTGTTTCAATACCTTCAAAGTACTTCGCCACGCTTTCATCGGGTTATGATCTTTCATGTTTGCGAGCGGCCTGCCCAAACTGTCAAGCAAACTGGAGATGGTCGTATGATCCTTCTTGCACCAAGACATGCCTTTAGGGAGGAGCATCTTTGGGACGAGTTCGATGGAGGGAGGGACCTCCTGGCTATTCTTTGATTTCTTTGCAGTCTTAATCTAACTTTAGATTCACCTCAAAACAGATGATTCTTGTGGCTTCGTCACTGCCTTTTCCTTTTTGCCGTGACCCAAGTGAGCTGGGGAGCTGATGGGGGGTTTGACCTAGAAAGAGACGGGCAATGTTCCTGAAGTTCTCCCAAAAGTCGTTCAGTAGTCGAATCTTTGAATCGAACATTAGTTTCTTACACTACTAGTGATGGCCTCCAACCTAAGAGCGATGGCCTCCAACCTATATAATAGCCGTTTCAGAAATCAGAGTAGAGAAGTAGCCATCAAAGTGACTGTAGAGTAGACAGAGTAAGAGCCAGGAAGAGGTACTACTTCAGATCGGTGTAGGGGAAACGATCAGGATGGCACCGGTGCAGCGCTGGTTGGGATTGGTGCGATCGTGTTTGCCCAGGCGAGGTTGGGCGTGAGGGCGCGGAGGATTCGATTGAGTGATGGTGCATATTGTCCGCAACGCATCAACGCATCATCCACATCATGTCCGTAACGTATCAGCTCATCATCATCATCATCATCATCGTCATCATCATCAGCGAAGGGGATCATCTGCATCCCACCTGACCATGTTGGGTCATCGGACAGGTTGCCTTTCGGGCAGACCCCCCCCGTTGACCCAACATGCATTTTTGACAACTACAAGCCAACATGGTGGAAGGGGCAAGAAGAACTGTCCAGAGGAGATCTGTTTAAAGAAGAGACCCTTACATGCTTGGACTTAAGATCTTGCTGAGAGGCCTGAATCAAGTTACGGAACCTTCTTCCAAGTTCCTGGGAAAGTTTATGAAGGGCCCTGCAGACATTTCAATCATTTCAACTGGTATGCTGAGCAATACCGAACCTTTTCAGGTGCAGGAAGGGTTGCCTCTTGCAGCACTTTCGCAGCGGATGTGGCTGGAGTGAGTGTTTTTAGTGTCTTTTGTCAAGTGTATCACATTTGTAGATCTGTGTTGACCAGCTCCGACATTCCTATTCCTGACTCATTTTAAGCGGTTCCGTCCTTTGAGCCCAGACTGCATTTGCGGGGTGGACGGAATTTGTCGCTGGATTGTCAGTCTGGAGCATCCCCCTGCAGTTCTGTTTCTTGGCTTGGGTTGCTTGGGTGTGATATACAATTCTTGGACAAATGGAATTTAACATGCGCATCTCCGAATCGGGAACGATCTGTTGGAACTTCTTCACCGGACATACGCAGCCCTGCTCCCAGTTTGATGTCTGACAGCAACTTCTTAGAAGAGTATGAAGATTTTTCTTCAACACGCTTTTCCACTGTTTGAGCAGGGTGAACAACACGTTTGCATTGTTTTGAATGCAAAGTATGGACAAAGAGCTTGAAAGAGCCCTGGGAAGAGGAAATGAATGGAGGCTGTTTCCCCGACGTGACGCACGTTCAGACGTGTTTGAGTCGTCAGTCGATGATGGTCTTCAGTGCGAATCCCCGGCGCGTGCCAAAGGCACGGCCTGTTGGGCTGGCCGAGAACCGTCCCAGGGCTTGAAGGAACCTAAGCAACTCGTTTAGTGAAAGAGTCCGTGATTTATGGTGGTTATGGGATGATGAAGGCACTTCAATTAATTGGTTGTGGCATCTTGGGAGGATGCTGAAGGTAGCAAGAGGTACCTGGAGCGCCTGGCCCGCACCAATCATTCCCCAAGCAAAGTAACTTTTGCCTCACTAGTGCTGGTAAAGGTTTTCTATTCCCGCAAGTTGGTTGTCTCTCTCCATCGAACAAAGGTGCCGTCTGCCACGGACAGGGAGCCTTGATCGCCTTCAAGGTGCCTACACGTTTGTGGGATGTGGTTGATGGGCAAAGATGACACAAGTCCCATGCTTTGAAAGAAGGGGTCACCCAGTTTCTGCAAGTTTTCTGCTCTAGACTGTGTAGAAGAACTAGCTAGGTTGTTCCTGGGAAGGGTAGGGGTTGATGGGCAACATGTACGTTCCCCCGAACCTTCCAAGTCCATGAAAGAAAGATGAAGGCCCTAGTATGTCATGTTAAGAGTGGGTGTTACGGAACACCCATTGAATCAACAGTTGTTGGAAAGATATCAGTATTAACATTGTCACAACTACCAAAGCTGGATTATTTTTTGCCAAGTGCATCGGGGGCGATGATTAAGCTTCGACCCTTCACAACAGTCCAAGGAAGGAGGCGATGTATCCAAGAAAGGACGGTTTTGTTTGCGGACGTTTTAGGATTCTGATCAAGCTTTTGGAACAGAAGACAGCTTTCAGAACTTTCAGAATTTTCTTCATGATTCTGTGATTGCTGGATACGCGGGCCCCATTGAGGTTTTCATCCTTTTCATCCAGGTAGTCGTCAGGTCTCATCGGGTGCATCCAGGTGATGAACAGTGATGAACACTTCCCAATGGCCTCCACCCTAGTAGTGGTTCTCCGTCCACGTTCGCCTGAGGCGGTGCTGTCACTTTGTGCGGTCTACGCAGTGGTGACCACCGCGACGGAGCGCAAGCGTGCGTGGGCAGAATGGCAGGGAGCACTCAGGTGGGTGGGATGGATGGGACACCTCAAACTCGCAGGAGTCCCATCAACAAAAAATTCCAGGCTTCGAAGCACAGAGCGACATGTGGCTGTTTAGAAAGTGTGGTGCGATTCTGCGGGACATTGAAGTTGGGATACTTACAATGAGAAGAGCTGGTCGGTTAGCTTGTTTCGCGTTCGCTGAAATTGGTTCGCGCGAAGCGAAAAGCGTGCTGGGAGAACTGGGCGCATCAAAGTTTCGTGTGGCCATGTTGGTTTGTTTGGCATGACCCCATTTCTGGCCGGAAAGCACAGAAAAAGGTGGCACCTATGCCACTCTTTGTGGCAGCCGCAGATTGTGAGAATAGAATTATGTCATTTGAGTTTTCTTGCCCATGTTGTGGGAAGCTCTACGCTGAAGCCATCTTCAATGATCAGAGCCCGCCTCTTATCAACCTTGAGCCTGGATTAGTTCGATGGCCCTGTTGGCACACCAACAGTTCCAGCACATGACTGCATCTTGTGTTTGGGCAGTCATGCAGATTGGAGTGAGGCAGCGCGAAAGTTGGCCAACTTTGATGGCTCAAGGTGATGTCCTTCACCCGTGGCGGCTTGGCAAGGTTCGCATTTACCATCGGGCAATTTTGGTGATCGCCGACAAGTGTGGGCATCTTCTCTCCGGCCCAAGCAGCAAAGTACACACTGCACTCTCTCTCTCTCTCTGAAAGTCAGGAGCCTGTCGCAGACCTTGCAACTATGATTGATAACCTTCAAGTATTCAAGAGATGATCCACAAGGGTGGGTCCAGTTACTCCGCAACAAAGGGGCGGGGTGCCGCCGATTTGTGAAATTGCTGTGTGCTTGGACTTCGAAGCGGGCGCCGCTTGGAGCCAAGCCTTTCAATAGGTTGACTGTTCGGGCAGGGAGGTAAATGGAGACAGAGGCAAATGATTCCACCCTATTCGGACAGCATGTCTGATGTGGGTTGATGTGGGTTCTGATCGGGGATGCGATTCATAAACTTGTTGAAGGCTTGCTCTCAGTGAATAAGTTCGAATTCTATCATCACGTACCGGTGGAATTAGAGCCACACCTCGAGTGCAAACCAGATCTTTCAGATTCTTTCAGCAGTTTTGGCTAAAACAACGCAAGGATTGGGCTCGTTTCCTGACATTGGAACCCCACTGTGGCCTCAAGATACTATAATTGTAATTATGACAAATGATCGCATTAAAGCTGCGAGTGATAAATCTGTTTTGACGCAGCCGATGCGTTCGCCTTGGGTATGCCAGACATGTGGGGGTTCCGGGCCAATCTTCACTGGGTCAATTGGTTTGTTGCCGCAGGCGGCGCTCTTGATTGCGAAGTGTCCGCACAACATTACATTGAATCAAAACGCTGACCAACATGGAGTTGTTGGAACCCTGCAAGGGGATTGTCGCTTGCACTCATGAGCTTATAGGTGCAGTTAATGTTCTCTCGCATGCCCCCAACAGATGGCATCATGCACCCCATATATGGGATGCCTTTTTTGAGTCCGACAACTAGACCTTCCCACGGATAAAAAAGGGCACCCCCCAAGCAACTCAAAACCTTCCGCCTCCAACGCTTGCTGTTCTCTCTCCTACCCTCAACAGATGGCATCATGCACCGCATATGGGGTGCCCTTTTGGACCGAATGAATGATCCTCAAAGAGCCGGCTATCCTATCTATTTGGGACCCAGAGTTCTCGGTGTCGCAACTAGAACTCAACATTTGAACTCATTGTGCTGTGGAATGCCAGACAGGGGACAGACAGGAGGGTGCCTGGTTGCTTGGGTGGGGTGGCCTGTTTTGCTTTGGCGCTTGCGCCCTTGTGCCCTACAAACAGGTGCTGCTTGCCTGGTATATAGTTCCTTGCTAGTGTTCCAGTTGGATAAGGCAGGTTCGCCTGCAATCCAAAAACATGGGAGTTCTTCAACTGCACTCACATGATGGAGGAAGCCTGTAATCTTTCGACCCCTTTGTGGTGGTTCGGCACTGGTATGTAGATATCATTCCAGCGAGACCTCCTCCATGTGTCAAAGCGACGAGGTTCGTTTTCCTGGCTTACTCCATCTCTTCGTCAGGGCCCTAGGCCAGCAGCTTTGGACTTGGAGCCGCTCGGGAGACGATTAGGACGAACCTGGTTGTGGTTTGACACAATCTTTTGCTCACGTCAGTTATAGACATAGACACCTGTGGAAGAAGGCCTTCGACACTCCCTTGGGCAGTAGACCCAGCAGAAAACCAACTCACTAGTTGGAGTCTGCCATGGACTCGGCACAGCCTGCAATCCCATCCATAGATGGAGTTCGATCATTCTTTCATTTTGACAGCCGGGACCCTCGGCTGCATATGTCTTCCAATCCCGAGGGTGCCGGTGTGCTTTATGATCTACGCAGCCGGGCTACACGGGAAGACGGAGGAGAAGAGGACGTCCGGGCACCGGTGCAGCTGTGGTGATGGGGGTTGAACAGTTTCGGAAAAAATCTCTTCCGGAACCTGCTTGGTGGCGACCTTGCCCCCAGGCCCACAAAACCCAGTTGGACTGAAGGAATCGAGGAGTTGGATTGTCAGGAATGAACTGATCCTATTCCCAAAGTTAGTTGAACATGGAACTGGACGAGAGCAACAAAGAGCAGAGCATCCACTATTGCAATCGGAAAAGCCTATTTCTCCTCTCCAGATACACAGCAACATGCAGCAACCACCTGCACATCCAAGAGAATCACTCAGGTGTTGTTTCCTTTTTCTTGGGCCCCAATGAAGAAGTCAGAACCAATTTGTTCTTTTCGTCAACTGGTAGACTGCTCAAACACTTTTGGACCTGGAAGTTGCCAACCCTGACTTGTCAACCATTCCTGGTAGAGAAAGTTTGAACAGGCCTGAACTGTGAAAGAACCAACATCAGACCAGTCAAATAGTTATTTTTTTAACCCTCAGCCATCTTCAAGCCCCGCGTGCGCTCCCGCCACTCCCTGACCGTGGCTGCTTCACCCTTTGGTCCATGAGGCTGGGCCAGATCTCTGCCAGTGAGAGAGCTGCTTTGCGTTGAGGGCGAATTGAGCAGAAACTAAGCCACCAAGGTTGTGGGAATCATTCAGTCCTCCAGGATCCTGGCAAAACCTCGATGAGCACCATGAACACCAGGATCTGGAAACTCGAAATCTTTTGCAACTCTTGAATCATAGAAGGTGGAACAGATCAGAAACCAGGAACATGCCCTGATAGACCTGATAGACTATTCTGTCTTGTTGGGATGCTCACTGGTTAGGGGAATGGAGCACATGATTTGCAGCCCGTTTCACCTGGTCGAATGATTGCTTTATGTGAGTCGAAGAAAACCTGAGCGTGTGGAGCAGCTCATGACTCATGCCGCTTTTGGGTCGGGCTGCGCTTGCGTGCGATGACGGAATGTGTGCGGCACTGAACGCTTTGACGAGGGCTGTGCGGCGGCAGTGTGCTGAGCTTGGCGATTTGCTGATCCAAGCGTCTCGAGCTTGCGCCAGCGACGACCTCCTTGTCTAACCAAACTGGAAGAGAAAGACATCCCGTGACATCCAGGAGATCTACTAGTAACAAGGAGCTAGTAGGTTGGAGGCCATCGCTACTAGGAACAAGAAGCTACTAGTAACAAGGGCATTACTAGCAGTTAAACCAAACTGGAAGAGAAGACGGACATCCTCTTCTCGACTGTCATTCTTGTCGCTAGTTTGTGGGGATCCTTTGATAACTTGGGTGGAAATCCTCCAAGGTTGGCCATCTGAGAGTGGCTTTGACACCCCCATTGACAACGCTCCATTCACGCAACCCCGTGTGCTCCTAGCAGCCCAGCACTTCAAAACACCGGGCCGCTGTCGATCTCAAGCTTTTTGTTTTTGAGTTTGTGAGCGAGCCAACGTTTTTCTGGGTTGTGTGAGCATCGAGTTTGGCAATGTACCTTTTCTGTAAACAGAATGATTGCGCATGGCAACCCAAGTAGCAAGTTGGCGTGTTGTGCGCGGTTGCTTCACCACTACAAGACGATTGCCAACAAACAACGCCGGCCAGTCAAGCTTTGCTGCAGTAGAGCAATTGAAGAGTATTCATGAGAACACAATGCAAAGTTCCTCATTTGCCCCCTTCCCCAAAAATCCAACAGCCACTCGGTACAGAATAATGCAAGCACTTGGGCTGCAAAACAGACTTGTTATCAGTTAGATTAGCGTCCTTGCTCCTAGTAGCGATGCCAGGAGCCCCTAGTAGCGTCCCTAGTAGCTCCTAGTAGGTTGAAACAAGTTGAAACAACGATCCCTTCATGGCCGACTTTGTGGATTACTATGAGTTGTCACGGGCCTAGTCGACGGGGCAATTCCGCTGAATTGAGGGCTCAGATCTTGCTACGACAACGTGCTTCAGTTTGATTTTCTTGATGTCGCAAGAAAAGGAATGCCATCTAAGTTTCGGTATGACATTTTGAGTCTTTTGATTTTGAGACTCGAACAGATCGTAAATGGTCCTTAAAAGCACTTGCAACAAGGCTTGGTTGTGCTCCAGATTCCACACTCGTGGCTCCTTGGAGCGTTGGCAAAATAGCCAGATTGCTGATGATTGCCGATTGTTTTGTCTCTTTCCAACAATACATCCATTTCAGGCTGACCGGGCGTTGTGCCCTAGCAAGATTTCCACCACACAAAGGGATGCAAAGGCATTTAAAGGCAACCTTCTTGCGCTACAAGTGCGAGATATTAATTCACTCAGGAAATCAAGCAGGCCTACCACGAGAAATTGCGGGAGTATCATCCAGACAAGCGGCCAAACAGTCAGGAGGGTCGAGGGAAGAAGGTCACTGCAACTTTGTGCCTTGGCTGATGGCATATTCTTTTTTGGTGAGATCATTGCCTTCATGGTCTCCAAAACCGTTCCCTCAGCCAAAGTACTTGTGCATCGTGTGTGCAAATCCCTTGATTCATTCATGCTTACAGTGCAAAATTATTGCCCATGACACACTGACCTTGCAGAGGTCCCATTGAACACTGTTCCTTTTGTAGTCATCGATTGCATATTACAAAACGAACTTGCAACAAATTTTGCTATCCAAGTCCACCTGCCAAGGAACGAGGCCTGGGAAATATTAAAGGATGACGCACGACGTGAACACTACGACCGCTTGTGGCTTAAGGCAAGGCAGTTTCACAAAAGTGCAGGGCCTGCATATGTTGGAATCTCTGTCCAAATCTTATATAAACTATGGCGTAAACTGCAGACCTTCTTGTTCATACCAACCATGCAAACACCATGAAAGTCACCCACATCCCCTCGCTTGGAAGGTATGAGCAACAGCATTGGGGATGTCAGCGGATCCACATCAACGATGGATGTACTCATGTTCAAATTCCTTTTTGCTTGTGACACCTATGGTGAACCCTGAATCCATCAGACTTTCGTAGCAGCGCTGTCTTGGGTCGGCAGGAGAACAAGCGGAGAACCAACACTCTTGACAATAATATTTTGTAAGCGGCTGTAAGGGATAGTGACGCCAAAAAATGCGTCACCGAACTTTGTAGCGCCTTGCTTGTTTGCATGCTGTGCCCACATTGGAAAATGCACATATAGCTGCCCCATACTAGCCAGAACAGAAGAAAACATTGTTATTGTTTAAGTGGTTGATAGTACTCTAGAGACTGCTGGGAGTCTGTAGGCACTACATTTTTATTCCTTGATGTTCTTTGCAGGCCCGGCCGCCTGCCTTCGCAGTGCCACGGCCGCCGTGCACAGCGGACGAGTGCCGCCGTGCTGGGAATGACCTTTACCGTGCTGCCAATGCGGTGGCTGCAAGACATGAAGCCGACCCAGAAGGAATTACTTTTGGTGCGGAAGGCCACTAAATGCTGGCCACGTCCCGGCTGTAAAAGGAATGGAGCTTTCTTGTGAAATGACTGATGCATTTTGATTTATATGACAAACAGAGTTGCTGCAGACAACATTACTAAGTTATATATGAAAGACTTCATTTGGCATGTCTTCTTCACATACATGAGGGGCATGGCGAAGGTTGCCTTCAGACAGCTGTTGAATTGAATGGCAAGGCATGGGCTGGGCAAAGCAGGTTCTTGAGAAGTACCAAGCCGCCATTGACCTCTACTCTAAAGGTCTCCTGGCATCACTTCAAACCTGAAAGGCAGCACTCGAGCAAGAGAACCCTTGTTCATTTTAAGCAAAGGTCAATTGATGGGGAGAGATCGGTCTAGGGATGATGTGGTTTTTGGTTGTTTTGGAAGGCACACAGTAAAAAACACCATTGGACTCTATTGCTACCCTGCTTGCTTCATACACATGGTTCTGGGAGCACGGACACCTGATTAACACAAACGAGAACACTTGCAAGCTAAAGAGAGCTAGGGAGCTATAGAAGCTGGGAAACCCGAATAGACAGGTCTGGACTTCTCGCCGGATGATCACCGCCTCTTAAACAACCGAGCTCTTTGCTATGCTGCACTGAAGATGTGGTCAAAATGCCAGGACGTTGGACCGCTCCGTGGTGGGCTTTAGAGGGCTCACTCAACTCAATCAAGTCTCAAGTCGAAGCACGGACTTTCAATGCTGTTTTAATGTCAGCAATCCTGAGAGTGGTGATTTCAATTTTACACCAACCTTTCTTTGTGAACGTGTCGCTCCGTCCATTTCTGTAGGAGGATGCCCGAAAGGTGACAGAGGTGAAACCAGATTTCAAGAAGGGCTGGTTCTTGTTGGCAAAAGCTTTGTGGAAGGACTGACTGGGCTAATCTTGAGCGGAACATAGACAAGACCTTGAGGGTTGAAAGATCGTACTCATACAGTGATGATGTAAGTGATGCATTTCTCACTGGCAAGACTCCTTTGCATAGTCTAAATCGATCATTGCAAGGATGCCAGCAACTTAAACAAAGTCCAGCGATCTTTTGGTGCATTGGGTTTTGTGGATGCAATCAAGAACTGTCCTCAAAGAGGGTGCTGAGTGCTGAGAGACTGTGGAACGCAAAACATTGGTATTGGTATTTCTTCGTGCAGCGCATTGTGCTTCGACTGCGTGTTTATTGCCACAGGAAGGACAGTTGGCAAGAGCCAAGGAGGAGTTGGAATCGGCGCTGAAGGTTCTTCCTGACTGCGCTGACCTTCACGAGTTGCTGCTGCTTAGCTGCAAGCTTTGAGAAAGAATATAGTTGAATACCGAGTATTTGGGGTGATGTTCCTCCCAACTTCACTCTTCTGCTGCGGAACTAATGGAACTGCCAAATCTTTCTAGTTAAAAAAGACCCACTGTATCTGGAAAAAGACTTGCTGACGACTAGGCATCCGGAAGAAGGTTGTAACTTTTACGACTGCTACGAACACCGATCATTACAAACATGTGGGTGCTCTTTGAATTAGACATTTTGCAGAAGGTGTAGGCTGGAGAGTGAGTGCATCTCAGCTCACATCCCTGTTCTTCAAAGAAAAAAGCTTAGCTGGGTCAGTCTCAAAACGCTTTCCAAGATGCTTTTATATCAAGGTCTACAGTACTGAGCAAACTCTTTCTGTGGCCGAGGATTGAAGTGCAACATTCATTGAATGAGCAGTCCGGCAGAGGCCAGGATTGTTGCAAACACATTGATGTGGGTTTTGTTGTAATACACTGAAGTGTGGGCATCCACTTCCAGATAAATATATAAATAGACATCCATCGATGGAAGGCCTCAGTGGCCTCATTGCTTTCTGTCAGAGTCAGGTGCGATGTTCACTAAACCTAGCGTGGCTCTTGCCTTATAACTACATTTGAAGGACATTCTACGTCCAAAACCAAACCATGCGTTTCTCCACATGGTGGTGCGGCCCATTGCGCAAGTAGCCGTTGAAGGTGTTTGGTTGAACTAGGATGGCAAAACACGCACTTGCGAAGTGCAAACTCTGCAAAGACCATAGTGCATACAGGATAAAATGGTCCATGCTATGCTGAGCATATCCAGTGGAAAATTAACATTTTTTGTGCCAAACCAGAAGGAAGGGACCTTCCTCAATACTTGGCTTACCAAATTCAATATTCCTAAAGCGGGAATTTCATGGAGGAACTTGTGAGGAAGCCAGATGGAGCCAACTCTATTATTTTTGTGAACAAGTGATTGCAGCACCTTTGGCCTAAGAATGCTACTCCCTTGCCTTAGGGCCTTAGGGCTTTACCACCAGTATTTTGCAAGATATTTTGCTTTCTTTATCTAGATAAATTTCATTTCATTGTTGAAGGCCAACTCCCGGCAATTGCCATGCGCCGGCAGAGCATGAGCCGTGCCTCGGCTTGCATGTTCTTGAAATAAAAGCAATTGAATGATACATACGTGTTTGAAGGTTTTTCTTATATGTACTGTAGTTGGAGGCCATCGCTAGCAGGTTAGAGGCCATCGCTCTTAGGTTGGAGGCCATCGCAAGTTCATTCTAAGTGTCCCGAAGTGTGGAAGCAAGTTGGTCAGTTTTCTTTGCTGGCCCTTGCTTGTGCGAGCCAAGCATATAGGATTTCCAAGCTGAACGCGCATGGTGTTTTTTAGTTCTTTTGATTTTGTTTTTACTGGACTTCTTCATTTTGACAGGAAGTGTCTCGCCGGTGGCAACTCCTCCATCCTGTCAGCGCTTGCAACCGCCACCGAACCTCCACCGCCCAATGCCGCCGCGCCGTGCGGCGGAGACTCCGCCATCCCCACCGGACGTCCCAAGCGGTCCAAGCACGTCAAAGAGTGAGATAACCCAAGCGTCGTGGGGCTCTACGTGGTTAAACCAATCCCACAGCTTGCACTCCTTGCACGACAGGCAGGGGACTCAATGGGAGTGGCTGGGACCAGATTGCTCACAAGATCAAGCAACTATTTTTCAAGTTTGCCTTTCTATTTTTTAAAGCACCCTTAAAGAAGTTTTCATCGCAACTGGTTGCAGACATTTCAATACTATGTGCTTTCATTTTTCACCCTTCCCTGTGAAGAGCAGGCAAGCGCTGGCAGCTTTAGCGAAGAGCAGCACGCTGAAGAGCTCTGTGAGTTCCATGTCCAAGAACTGGCGATTCCCCAGGTGCATTGAACCGTGGGAATGCGGTGGGAACTCATCGACAAATTTCGATTTCATAATGAATAGGAACTCTTACTGCACTTTATCCTCGCTCTCGCTCTGGCTCTCTCTCTGGCTCTCTCTCTCTCCTTCTCTTTCATTTTCCGCGCCGAAGGTCTGGTGCCTGGAGTGAAGGCCTAGGGGCGCTTGAAGGCACTGCCCGCTTTGGAGAGACCACCACGGAGCCTCGGCTTGGCTCCGGCTTGATGACAACTTAGCACGCAAAGCGAAGCAAAGCGTTTCTATCAATGTCATACACAATTCAAGCAGAGTTATGCGCTACCCAAGAGAAAGGCACCTCTTGTTGTTCGGAGTTCGCTCACGCCTTTTCCAAACATTTGCTTTTCTTTGCTCGTTTCGGTAAAGTGCTGAGGACTTCGGTGAGAGAGTGAAGTACCTCAATAGAAGTGGTAGTGCTGGGCTGAGCCGCAATGCCGAATGGCTGTCTCAATAGTAAGTATAGTTACTATATGGTACTATTGCTATCTATAACTTCTCGTTTGAAACTCATTCTGGAACTGTTGACGTTAAGTTCTCTTTCATTAGAACTTCATTATTTTGTAGAACTTGGTCCAGCTTTGCTTTGATTGGTTTTCAGGTGTCGTGTCCTTCAGTGGACTCAAGGATGGAAAGACCTTGTGGGCACCGTCCCCAGTTCCAGAAGTGGAATTGAGGAAGCACCATTGCGTTTTTTGTGGAGAATATATTCAACCAAAACAGGCTCCTACACTTGATAATGGCATGAGCCGGGACAGCCGGAAGTCCATTTGCACAGTATCACTGAGGACATGGCACAACGTGCTGCGCGCAATAGGCCGGAATTGTGGCGGTTATTTAGAGGTTTCGGTTTATTTACTACTTTGCCGCAGCTGATTGGATAAGGGTGAAAACAGTGGAAGTTCGGCCTCGGACATGATATGTATTTGCTAGAGCCCCTGCCTGCCCAATGTCTCTAGAATCTAAAATATTGTTGTTGTTGTTGTTGCTGCTAACGTTCAGCCAACTTGACCTCCATTGTTGGATCCAGTCCCATCCCATGTGTAGTTGTCCTTCAAGTCACCAAGCTTTGGCTAAATTGGTAGACTATGATTGTTGGATGCACATGAGATTTTGGGAGCATGTCTTGTGTGGGTGCTCTTCTATGTCGAACGGTGTGTATTCTCCTCTTGGCAACTGACAGTGCTGCATCTTTTCGTGCTGACAGTGCTGCAACTCACAGCCTTGTTCCGCCAGGAGATAGCTGGACTCCAGCCTTGGAAAGCAGCCACTGGCAAGTTAGCATGAGCGTACGAATTTGACAGTGGCCGCGAAGAAGCCAATGATCAAACTTTTTGCTTTCCAGTGTGCACAGAGATGCACGGAAATTCAGAATCCATCGCAACCAAGTGGCAAGAGCTCGCCAAGCTCGCGAAGAGGTCGACGATACTCTAGAACAGACTGATTTGTTGCCTTTTGCCCGGATTGCATGGATCTGCATGGAATTTGCGTTTTAAATTTACATGCACCCGTAGAGGTTAGTCATGGCCAGCTATCTTATCCGTGTTTTTTTCAGGCCATTTTGAGGCGTTTCAGTGTCACATTACCTTAATCAAGTAAGTACACATGCTTGAACATGTTTGAGGATCCAAGTTCTTTGCCAGGGACATTGTTTAGTTATGCATTCATGTTTGGATCTTTGATCAGATCTCTTCATCAACTTGCAAAGCAATGTGACTCTGACCTTAGTGCGCCAAGGGCGCACAGATTTGCACAGAGGGCGCCGTTTGCGCCAACGGGTGGATTGGCTCGGGCCGATCAACTCCCAGTATTTCAACACGCCGCGGCCTGCCAAAAGCTAAGCGTGGCGAAATGCCTTTCAAAGCGAGGTTGGATGCTTCCTGCTCGCCCTAGGCAGGCCCTAGGCCCCTAGGCCTTGAACTTAACGAAGAAGTACAATTCTTTTCTTTCGTACATAATTTCCTATCTTTTCGAGGGTCGGAAGCGGTGAGGCAGTCGTGAGTCGAGGCCAAGCAGCAAGCAGGAAGATGGAGTTAGTACCAAAGATGCAGGAGACCCCTTGCTGTAGGAAAAGGGTTCCTAGACAGAATGACAAACAGGTATTGTCTCTAACTTGTTCGCCTTGGCATAGTCTTTGATGTCAGAAGCAAATGGTTTTCTATATGCTATAGATGCCCTGAGGGTGCTTCATGCTTTGGATATGATTTGTTGTGTGGCTCAATACAGAAGTGCACAGCATGCTGTCATTGCTATGATTTTGCATATCTTCCTTATGAATCCTGTAACTAGAACAAAGTCTTGTATTGGGCAGGTGCAACAGACCACCCCACCATTGGCCTTTTGTTATCATCATCTCACAGCATGGCGGGACGGTCTACTGCGGACGAGGTGAGAGTGCTGTTGGCCTATCGGAATATCGGAAGAGCAAGCATCACAAACATCAAGTTTTGCTTTGTTGAATCTTGATGGTTGATGTTTGGTTGTTGATTTGATTTGTCAAGCTTTGGAAGTGGCAGCCAGTGGCAGCCAGTGGCACATCTCATGCGTAGGTAGACGACCTTGTCCAGGACCTGTTGAATCGTAAATGTGCTGAGCCGCCTGACTATCACATTTGCAGTGTTATACCTTGGGTGCACGAATTTCAGCCAGCCCATGTTTTCATGAACATTCCCTACGAGAATAGCCCGAGAATCCACAATATAGCTAAATTATATGCAAGAGGCAATTGCTGTTAGGTTGGAGGCCATTGCTATTGGGTTGGAGACCATCCCTACTAGATCCAAGAACTCAAAAGCAATTCACAATGGTCATTGAGTCGTATAGCTTGGTCATCCACGGTTTTGTGGTTTTTGCAGATCCACTGGTCTCGCTCGAGGAGATAAACCAACATCCCGCAAGCAATCCGACCAGCAAGACAGCACCAGCTAGTGTGACACTGAGTTTAGACTGCAGAATATCTTTTCTCATGATTGGTGGAGGGTTCACTCTGCTTCGTGGACAGAACTGTAGCTAGCCGCTAGCTGAGACTTGATTTAGTCAATGACTTCGACTCAGGGTCGTTCCTGAAAATAAAGTGAAATGTCTAGACGACAGCAGCGAAAGGCTGCTGACAAACAAAGTAGCAATGCAGTCAGTGTTCAACTTGGCAAAGTAACAGACCGTTTTGATCCAAGTATTTTTGTCAAGCCTGATTCACTCGTCTCCCTGCTCAGAAGAATCTTTGATGCCTTCCTTAGGCCAAGAGACACAATCACTCAGAGCTCTTGCAGACACGTGCCTCTGACCGCATTCGGTTGCAAAAAGGTTTGCCCTCTTGATTGTTTGGAGTGGCTTGGATTGCCTTTTCCTCAAGCCAGTTTCTTTACGCAGGGCAGGGAAGCGCACCAAGAGCCAATACCTTGAATCAAGCATTGCTGCGCAGGCAGAGGTTTCTCGTTGAGAATCAGGCGCCACGAAGTTTAAACTGCGGTAAGTGCTCATATGCAAGTGCTTTGTTTTTGATATTCCAGGACATGAAGCTGCAAGCCTTTTGACAGAAGTACTTGCCACACTGTGTGCTGCAAGACGTTTGTGAGGAGCTTTGCTCTAAGCTGGTGAGCAAGCTCTCGTCCTTGGTGCGGATCTGAAAGGGTTTGTCATGTGGTTGTGGTTCCTGGAAGGGTTTGATTTCTATTTTTTCAATGCTTGTGGGTTGACTTTCAAGCATCCCCAGCTGATGTCAAGTAGAAATTGCGGACGAGGAGTCACAAAGAGTCACTTGACCCCTGCCTGACCCTCCACAGTGACACTGCATAGCTTTGCATGCAACCTGTCGCGCAAAGGAGTGGACAAAGGGATCGCTGTATGTATGTTATATTTGTGTGTGGTATGTTTGTTTATATTGGATGTTCATAGATGTTCTAGGTTTGTTTATAGACACTCCCAAGACAAACATGTAACATGGAAGTGGATGACAAAGGCCCCTCAAAGACCATTTTTCTTTCAGATGGCTGTTCCACTTCCATTTTTACGCTTGGGATTATAGATTTTGGTTTACTTCAAATTGCTGGCTGAAGTATGTAAACTGCTTCCTGTCGCAAGCAGGTGCCTGAAGCCTTGAGAGATTGGGAGGCAATGATCCAGGAGATCCTCGGATGATGAAAACAATTGTTCAAAGCGTTGATAAGCTCCAACTTTTCGAGGACATATTTTTTGAGCTAAGGAGGTTTCAGCGACGCAGCATGTTGCGAATTTATGACTTGGGCAAATTGGCCTTGGGTGTTTCATTTTTGTGGCAAACAGGATCTAGCAATCAGTATATACCCCTATATCCCTACAGTCAACCATGTATGATTACAAAGGCTCCTCCATATTGTACTTGGCATGGAAGATCTCAAATGCTTCAATTCATCAAGCAAAGTGCGTTTTTCTAACTCAGTCTGGTCCATGTTCAGACTCAGAATACAAATACCTTTTGACTTTTGATGGTTTTCTTTAAGTTTTCTTTGGTCCCGTTGTTTTTGTTTTTTTTCTTCGTCCTTTTCCACTTAGATAGATCCAAGTGCCATGCCGAGGAATCAAATTCTTCGCCAGAAACTGCAGGTGTGGAGAGACATGAGGCAAACAGATGAGTCATAGGCCCCATAGGCATCCAACGCATCCAACCCGCCACACAATGGAATCTCTCATCGCCCAACATCCGCAACTGCGACTAAGCTTTAGCCCTTTGGCCTCACTTAAGTAACCTTTGGCCTTTGCTGTAAGTTGTGAAGTTTGGAATTGCGGCACTACTTGATGAGATTGACCTTGCATATGACACATGCACATGACATCAGACATCATCACTAAGATAAAGCTGAGATGTGCGGGTGCAGTATTTTGGTGAAGAAGAGACAGAATTCTTGGTCTCTCCACGAGTGCGCCTGGCGTGCGGATGAGTCGATACAAGTTCCTCCATCCCTAGTTCTATTGCGCTGAAGAATTCGTAGTTGCTGTGCTCCGCCTTATGCAGTTGATCTCCCAACCCCTGCCTCTATTTCACACTATTAAAGAATACGGTGGACCAATGAATTGGAGCCAAGATTGAAGCAAGGAACTTAGCTGCTGTGGAACGGCTGCATTCAGCACACGGATTCCACATTTAGATTTAGATGTTTGTCCCTTCAAGAAATTCAATGGCAATCAAAGGATGCAGATCAAGGATCAGTTGACAAAGGGTTCTTCACCTGCTTGAGGCAAACAAGATCCCCTTTGACGACCTTCCAGATGTCAAACCTGAGAAGTCCATCGCCCAGCGGGCGAACGGTTATGCCATGAATTCCGAGTCCGATGGACCGCATGGACTCCATGGACCCCTCCCCTGAGCGTTTGGTAGCGACTCAGAGAGCCAATCGGTGCATCCGAGGTTCACGCTGCCGGGTGCATCTGAGCCAAATTGTAGCTTTTCCACCTCAGAGCTCATGACTGTGAGCGGCTCACACTTTCGGTCGGGCCGGAGGAAGAGCGCTTTGGGAAGGCAGGAGTCTGTGGAAGAAGCTGTCAGAGCTGGATGCAATTGTGATGGAGACGCAGATGTTGCACTTTTTCAGCTTTGAAGAAACTAGGGGACAGAAACTGCTAAGTGCTAACTTGTCCGATAATAGAGCCTTGAGAGGAGCTTTCTATGGTTTCTCACTTTTTTCATCAATCATCCTTTCCAAGTTGTTCCTGTGGTCTTCCTGCATATTTGTTCCCTGCTAGCATGCCAAAAAAGCGGAAGTCCTCCTTGGGCGAGGCTGCAGAGGAGCGCCGTTACGGACAAGCGCATTTTTCCAGGAAAGAACTGAACAGATTTAAGTAATCTCTGTGTAAAGCTCTTTGACACAAGTGTTATGTGAAAGGTCCTTATGATCAGGGCTGTCGTGACAAGACTTTGCACGTGGTGCTTTCGTGACCCTGCACCCTTGATTTCATATAGAGCTTAATCTTGTATGTGGTGGGCTTGTGGCCTCGTGCATGAAGGAAGGAGTCGCTTGGACAATCCCTGACTCCAAAGGTTGGGGAGTTACTTAAAGGGCAAGGACAATGGCCAGCTTTTCTCACATCACATGGCTGTGGAGCCTCGCCAGGATGAATGAAGTCTCTTGACCATGTACTGTAAAGACATACTTCATTGCCATAGCCCAAAGCAGTCACAGAGAATGTCATCAGCTTTATCTTCCATTTTCCAACAAGAAACCTCACTTCCGTACCAGTCACAATTAACGCCATCAGAGACATTCATCCTGTGGCAACAAGGAAGGTCGTCAGTGTTTTTCTGTTATTCTAGCGAATAACTTCATCCCGCAAGAGCCTCAGTAATGACTGAAAGATCCAATGATAATAAGATTTGCAATATGGGTGGATAGAACGTGTAGTAACAGAACGAGCTGTGAACTGTGAACATCCAGACTCCTGGTGATTCCCCATGTTAAGAACCGTGTGTGCAAAATTAACTAAATACATCATCAAACACATGATTGGCGACTACTTTTGGTTCATGAATCTTTGCTGATTATGAATAACTATTGCATTTTGATGTTATTGTCCTCTTTTTCCCGCCTTTAGGTTTACATATGACATATGTTATTCAAACAACACTTGAAGTAAGAGATAAGATAGATTCATTAATGTGCTTCATCATATCATATGGCATTGCACATTACAAAAAACAAACTTATCCCGGCAAGAGACCCCAAACAGTGTGTGTGTGGGTGAGGTCTGTAAGCAGAAAGTCTAGAGATCTAGACGCATTGGGGTCCAGAGAGGTGATGGTGGTGATGAAGTGAAGGTGGGTGTGAGTGAGTGTGGATGAGAGGGAGTGTGAGTGAGAGTGGGAGAGTGAGTGTGAGTGCGAGTGTGAATGAGAGTGAGTGTGAGAGTGAGAGTGAGAGTGAGAGTGAAAGTGAAAGTGAGTGAGTGAGAGCGAGTGTGAGTGTGAGTGTGAGTGAGTGTGGTTGAGAGTGAAGGTGGGTGCGAGTGAGTGTGGGTGAGAGTGAGAGTGAGTGTGAATGAGAGTGTGAGTGAAAGTGGGAGAGTGAGAGTTTGAGGGAGTGTGAGTGTGAGTGAGAGTGGGAGTGGGAGAGTGTGTGAGAGTAAGAGTGGGAGAGTGAGTGTGAGTGTGAGACAGAGACAGAGACAGAGACAGA